AGGGATGTTCCTCTTGATTCCCAGATCTCCTCTCGCCTGTTTTACAGGAGAGTGTTTGATATGCAACAGAAGCTGCCAAGGAAATTAGGTGCAAATTGCTGGGCTGGTCACGCATATGGAAGGGGTATTATGATTTTTTTTTTTTTTTTTTTGAAGTGCCTCTTGGCTTCCTGGCTTCTCTTTCAATTCAGGCATCATTTGATGTCCCTGTTCCTCACCTGGCTGTGAATAGCAGCTAATTGTCATAAGGGAAGTGCTGGGCACACTCCCCCATGTCCTCAGGTGAGCAATTTCTCACTGCTAGGAAGTCCTACACCTTACACACTTCTCTCACCTCACTGCCAAGGGCCCTTCTCACTTTGGCAGGCAGTGGGTTTCCCTGGTGAGGGCACATGCCATGTGCTCTGTACCTGCTAGAGGCAGCCATGCTAACAAGCTCCTTGCAGCCATAAAGTGACAGGATGTGTCATTAGAGATGGTTACATACTGCCTTGATCCTGCCTCCAGGCTCGCAGGGTGGATGTTCTGACCTGCCTCTCTCTCTCTCTGTCTGCTAATGATTTGTCTGCTGGGAGTTTCTCTCCCTCCCACTTCATCTTCCCACATCTACCAGCCCTTCTTAACTGCTTTCTTTTCTCCTCAGACCCAAAGAAGGAGGCTCTGCATTGAAAAACTTGGCTAACTTATCCCAGCTGTGCAACTAGTCCAATAAAATAAATCAATCCCCCAAAAATCCCTGCCTCTCTGGACACCACAATAAGGGTTCACAGCCGGTTAGGGATTATCAGTAACCCCATTGTTAGGGATTATTAAAAAGGGAATTAGGAGACAGAAGAAAGGATTGTGATGTCCCTTTATAAATCCTTGGTGTGTCCACACCTTGAATACTGTGCCCAGCTCTGGTCCCTGCACCTCCAGCAGGAGATAGAAAAACCAGAGAAGGGCAGCAAGGGTGACAGGTGCTCCGGAGGGGCTTCCCCAGGGGGAGAGACTAATGAGGCCTGTTCAGTTTAGAAAGGAGATGGTTGAGGAGGGGACGTGATAAAGATGTACAACCTACTGAATGGTGAAGAGAAAGTCAGTAGGGATTTATTATTATGGCCTGTCTCTCACCAGACGAGAATGAGGGGTCACAACATGACAGTAGTAGGTAGCAAGTTAAAAATGAACACAAGGACCTGGCGTGGAATTAAAGGATGGAGCTCGAGGGCACCAGGTGTGTGGGCAGCTGTGAGTTCAGGCAGATTCAGAAAAGGACTGGGCACGTTCTTGGAGGCAAGGGGCATCGGGAGCTAGTGAGCAGGGGAGTGCGGGGCACGGCCTCCGAATCGGAACATCCTGGGCCCTAAATGGCTGCAAGGGAGAGAGGAACGGGGTGGGGGACCCTGCTCAGACCCACCACTCTCCCTTCCAGCCTCTGCGCGACACGGGAGACCGGACAGGGTCTGACCCAGAACACGGCAGCTCTTATGACTCCAGATAAAGAAGCGGGTTCCTCTCTGGGCATCTCGGCTGCGTAGCGAATTTCTGGTCTTCCTGGGGTAATTTGGACAGTACTTCCCAGGCTGATCCTGCCTCGGGTAGGGGTTGGATAAGATGAGCTCTGGAGGCCCCCTCCAGCCCCACTTCTCTCTGACTGTGACTCTGAGAAGGAATAATCTTGACATTCTTCCACCTTGGCCCTCTCTGGGTCTGTCTAGCTATTCACGGAGAGAGGCAGCGAATGGCTTCAACCCCCCAGTCGCTCGTTGTCTGCTGCTCTTTGACACAGCTGCTGACCTGCATCTCTCTGGGCTGTCGCTCCTTTGCCCTCCTGCTCTGTAAACCCTTCTTAATGAGCACTGCTTCCTCCAGTGTCATATTCATGCCTTCCCCACAGAGCAAATGGGGCTGCTGCGGGCACACTTCGCACCTCTCCGAGAGGCGCATGGCATCGCCTAAGTGAATCTGGGCCGTCTGGGCTATAAACAGGGAGAGCTTTGATCTGCTGCTTTTCCCACGTGGCTTGTAGATTGAGCTTCCTCTGTCTCATTGTTATGGCCCCAAGAAAAGCTTCCTTTTTCCACCGGAGCTTTTGAAACCTCACACACGCGTGTTAAACACCCGGCTTACTTGAAAAGATGGTTCGCAGGAGCAAAGACGACAGCACTGAAGAGGCAGGGGGATGCAGGGAGGAACCCCACCCCAGAGCAGAGAAGCAGCATGAAGAGCTGATCTTTCCACCAGATGTGGAGAGGTGGCAGCCAGGGCACAAACTCTCTCCCCAGTGGGGTACGGGAGTGGGAAAAACAACACCAGAAAAGCCTGGGAAGTGCCAGAAAAGCAGGGAAAGGCATGTGAGGAATCCCAGCGGCTCTTCCGCAGATGGGCCTGTCCTTACAGCAGCAGTTGCACCCTACATATTTATTTGCTGCTGTGATTTATCAACTAACCAAGATGGGAGCCTCCTGGTGACCTGGAAACCATTGTCCCGAAGTCACCGTTATCATTGCTCCCTTTGGTACTGGGGAAGTTTCTCTCCCCGGCCCAGTCTTGCATGCAGCCCCTTGCGTTAAGGCTAGTTTCCGATTGTGGCAAGCTCTTGAGAGAGAGAGATGAGTTTTGGCCCCGTTGCGCTGTCCTTGTTCCTCCTCTTCACTGGGGGTTCAGCA